GGGGCAGCCGGAGAAGCGGCGCCTCCTGCCCGGCCGAGCGGGGGCTCCGAGCCGCGTTTCTGCTGCACGGAGGTGACAACCGGCAAAAGCCCCCGCGTCGCGAGGAGAAGAAAAGGCTCCTGTCGGCTCCTCTGGAGCCCGGCAAGCAGCAAGGGTGCAGGTGGGGGACCCGCTGCCCCTTCCTGCGCTCCCCCGCGTAGGCCAGCCAGCACCGAGCGCCCTGTTGCTTCTTACCAAATTCGCGCCCAGCTCAGTGCCCAGGAGGTGCGGCAGGGACTGTTTGGGGCATAATTTGTCTGCGCATCAGCGTGAACGCTGGAGATTCCTTCCATGGTTGGTCATTCAATCTGCCATAGATCTGCTGTCTCGTCTTATCCATCTGTGTTTATTTTGCTGATGTGACAACACCGCATTTTGGTGGTATTTGAACTGTCCTGCAATACCGGACTGCCAGGCCCAGACTAAAACTGTTAGCCCATAAAGTGGTGGTTTCCCCCCCACAGTAGGTTGGTTGTCTGCTCTGGATGAGCCGCCTGTGACCAGTTAGGAAAGGGAGGTTTAGAAATACATGCAATCAAAATTCTGGAAATAAAGTATCCCTCTAGCGGATTCATCCTCTCTTCTCTTGTACTGTGATCTTAATACTGCAAATACCTTCCTGCTTGTCATATGTGATAGTCCTAATAAGGCATTATGTAATGTGTACTGGGATTTTTTCTTAGGGCCCCTTACAATGTGCATAACTACTTGTAATATCTTGTAGTAGTCTTGCGGTGTCTTTAGTTACTGGATCTGTATTGTCCATGTTTGTTCCCGATTCATAGCTGCAGTTCTTACTCCAAACTACATATTTTTTTCATTCTATTCTAATAAAGCTCTCTTTTTTTTTTCTTGTTAAATCACCACTTTCATCTTACTAGACGATAGTCAAATTCTCATTTATATTGCATTCCTGTCTCTGTTACGACATGTCTCCGTTAACATGGTCTTACTTTGTTACAAGATAAGCTTCAGATATTAAATATGGAGTCTGATCCTTTAAACAAAGCTCTCTCAAAAGTTTTGACTTACTCTTGACTTCCCATTGATCTATTACTTATCTTAAAATTTTTTAGTTAATCTTTATCTTTGCTAGTATGTTTGATACTTCCACATTTTTAATGACATTCCGCTAGGCTGGACCTGCTGCTTTTTCTTTTGTCTGCAGTAGTGCTGTTAGTCATGATAAGTGGTGCTGAAACTGGAATTTAGTAATTCAGTTAAAGATTTTGTGAAGAAAATATGGGGGAACAAATATTGGTGCAAAAGTTTTGGAAGTTACTAATGCAGAGAATAACTTGGTGTCAAAAATATCAAGATGATCTGAAGCTGAAGTTGTTTGGCTTGTGTGTGTGTTTGTGGTTTTTTCACACTCCTCTGTGTCTTTAAGTGTGTTTTGTTTTTTGATGAAGCTTGTTTGAATGTTCACATATAAATTAGTCCAGAATTCTGGAGTGAAGGCTCTTTTGCTGTTATACTTCAGTGTAATGCAAGAGTGGTGTGGGATTTTTTGTGTGTGTTTGTGTTTTTTGTTTTCTCCATTCTGTTGCTCTTTTGGTCTTAGCTGCTCAGGTGATATAACAGTAGAAATCATAAACCAGTCTTGTATTTTTTTTCTTCCTTTTTAGAGTACGGTTTCAGTTGCAATATCAGATTGAATGGATGCCTGCCTTCATGTTTGTGTGATGAGTAGATTCCAGGAGCATGCCAACAGCTCTTTCCTAGTCTGGGTAATTTAAACATAAGGACCTCTTTATGTCGTGAACTGAAAGTAGCATAACAAAAGGTATGTAACTAAATGAGCATCTGCTCATGTGTTTGCATTTATTATGTTAAACTGTACAACATTACAGGGAAACTTATATTTCCATTTTAACGTTTAATGGATATAACTAATTTATTTTGTAATCCCCGCTATAAAAATATATTGCAAGAAGGTCAAATGGAAAGTTTATTACTCTTCTGTCTTTGCTTTGAATGTATCCATATGAGGAAGAACTTCTTTCCTGTGGGGGTGACAGAGCCCTGGCACAGGCTGCCCAGAGAGGCTGTGCAGTCTCCTTCTCTGGAGATCTTCCAAACCCACCTGGATGCCACCCTGTGCCACATGCTCTAGGTGACCCTGCTGGAGCAGGGGTTGGACTAGATGGGCTTTAGAGGTCCCTTCCAACCTCAACTATTCTGTGATTCTGTATTCATTGCATTTAATAGAAAGAATACATTTTTTAATGTAATGTGTCAAAGAGTTAATGAGGGAAATATTAAATGCTATTTTTCTCTGCATCTAGAGTAGAAATTAACTACCATTTGCAATTATGTAACATATTTTAATATCTGTTTTGTCCAATAATACATGCTTTTATCTACAGTGCTTGATAGTATGAGCTTTCTGATCTTTTTGTCTGCTGAAATCAGACTAGTTTAAAAAAGCACATTCAGCTAACGAAAGTGAAAGTGGACTGCTGCTCACACTGTTTCTCCACTTTGACCTAACAGATCTGCATGGGAAACTGAGCTGTGGAAGTGGCTTCATTTAAGAAAACAGAGATATGACTTCTTTCTATATCAGTTTTCATTAGAATCAGTGCCTTGAGTCAGCTCATTTTTCATGCGTAAAGAATTGTTGGCACCCAAGGGAATGAGACAGGAACAGAACAGTGGAGACAGGAGGGTGGTTCTCTTGGTTGCAATGCTAATTTAATATGTTTTTTATTACTGCAGCTCTAATTTGACAGTCTTTGTTTCTTTGTGATTCTTTAATATCTTAAAAGCTTACTGGAAATATTTGCTTTCCACTTGCTGATAAGTTGCATCAGACTGTGATGTCATTTGACATGGGTTCAGCCAAGTTAAACTTTGCATTCTTTTGGCTTGAACTTCAATAATAAACAAAAGAAAATCTAGTAAATATCAAATTTAATGTTATAAGGGAAAAACAATCACATGTAATTTTATTCTTAATCAATAAAGAACAAATTTTGATAGAATAATGAAATTGTCTGTCTTTTGCTATAATTTTAAACTTTGGCTTGTATTCACTTAGATTTCAATTCTGAAAAATAAAGTATTCCAGTTTGTTGCAACATTTGCTATGATCCTTTATATTTCTTTTGTAGTATTTAATAAATGTGTCTCTGTCTACTATATTTTATTTTCCTCCAGTACTCATGGGTAAGAGAAAAGAAGAAAGTGTTTCACAGCCTGGGTCCCAAAAAAGACGGAGACAAGAATTCGCAGATGAACCAACTGATGAGTATGATGAAGAAGAAAATTCACAGCTATTGGCCGATAGTAATTTTTCTTCACCATCGGTAAGCTGTTTAGAAAGTCAGAAAGAAAATAGATGCCAGAGAAAGTTTGTTTTAGAACAATGGTCTCTGATTCTGGTTAATATTGAAATAAATATTTTGCGTGTAGGATATGATGAGAACCCTACCATAAGGTGATGTGTAGTAAATAGTAATAATGTGTCAGTACTTTTGTAGGAGTCCATTATTGCCTTTGAAGTAATTACATTTATTTCCTTTGGATTGTACAACTAGAGCAGTTACAGAATTTTGTTTTTTTCAAAGTGCCTACTACGGAAGAAAAATTCGTCAAAATAATCAAATAAAAGAAGAGATTTTGTTGATGAAAGTGTAACGTATTTGGTTTAGAGTTATGGTAAAAGCAGAGAAAATAATTGGAAAAGGAATAAATAACTAAAACACCGCTAGGTTGTGTTTGCATAGGTAATGCTTTCAAATGATGATATTTACTTAAACTATATTTTGATATAAATGAAACTGTAAAACGAAATAGAGAAATACTATTTCTTCTGCTTTTTCTATAATAGCTGAATTTCAACTTGATGATTAGGATTATTAAAATAGTGTTTTGCAACATGTAGCATAGTGTTTGCATGCTCAAAAACTATCTTGCTGTCTTGCGCCAAGGCATGATCCCTCACTTCGTTTTCTCAAACCACCAACACTGTTTGTTTATTCCATGCTGAAAGCTTTGCTTGCCTAGAAAATGCTGCTTTTCTAAAGCTCTGGAGACAGAATTCAACTATTCTGTCAAAATACCTCACTGGTTTTCAGTGGACTCTCCCTTCAACTTTTAGTTTCGTTTCCTTCTTCTTAACCTGTCCTAGAAATCGTCACAAATAGATCAATAAAGTAAAATCAACTTAAGACTTTTTTGTTGTTGTTGTTACTTCTGTGTAATTTTATAGATTCTACGCTGTTATTTCTCTTAACTAGCTTATCATTAGTAAGAATACATGCTTATGGGAGGTAAACCAGGTTACTATTGATGAGCGATCAGCCTTAGTGACTGTTCTGATCATGTGTGTACATCTGAAACGAAAACTGTATTTAGTTAAAATGCTCACAAGCACCAAATTTAATAGTCAATTCTTTAGACTGTAGGGGAAGTCGGGATAATTGAAAGTATCCAACTGAAGAACTTTATGTGCCATTCGATGTTGGGACCTTTTCAGTTTGGATCAAATCTCAATTTTGTGGTTGGAAACAATGGAAGTAAGTATTAACTGCATCATTTCTCTGTCAGAGAACACTGCTGTTAATAGTATAATCTTTCTTCAAAATGAATAGTTATCTCTGTATCTTTTAGGAATGGGGATTGATTCAGTTTTAGACTCACTAAGCGTAGGTCTATCTCTGTAGTTCAAAGCTGTTCATAAAGTTAGGTACCAGAGACCTGCAAAACACAGTATACATTTCTTTTCTCAGCTAAATCATACCTAGACTTATATTTTATTAAGTGTAAAAGTTGAGAGCTTAAACGCTCTCAGACATTTATTTAAATGGTAATTTGAGTTGGATTTCTTTTGTTGTATAAATGTTTTCCATATGGTCTAGGCAGGGAGAGGGGGAATCTTTCCTCCTGAGTTAGAGTATCTTGTCGAGCCCAAATTGTTGAGGAGAAATAACAAGAGGTTAAATGCTGGTGGTGTTTGTTTGTTTTTGTTTGTTTTGGGGTTTTTTGGAGGGAGAGTGGGGGAGTGTGGGGAGGGAGGGAGCAGGAGGGAAGGAGACAAGGCGGGTGGACTTTGGAAACACCCGCTTTTCCTAGAACTGGTACCATTGCTGTGTTATGCATCTGTCCAGTAAAGAAACAAATTAGAATTTATGCTGAATATATAAGCAATCAAACATCTAAAAGTCTAAAGCATGACTGAACTGGATAAAAAGTGCTATAGGAATCTCTTAAATTTCTACACTTCTCATTACAGGTGGAAAGAGTTCTGTATTAACTGCTCTTATTGTTGGCCTTGGTGGAAAAGCCACTACAACTAATAGAGGTTCATCTTTAAAAGTGTTCGTAAAAGATGGAGAGTCGTAAGCAAAACTTCTTCAGTCTTAAGCTTGACTATACTTTTTGGGTTATGTGATCAACTTTTTGGGCTATGTGATCAACTTTTTGGTTAATTCAGAATTCATCCCTGTCTTTTCTATAAGAATGTCTTGACCAGTAGGCTCTAAGTTACTCTGGTTAGGAATGTCTGTGGAAGGTAAGCAGCTTTTTCCTGAATAAAGCAGCTTTTTCTCCAAAGGCTGGAGACAAGCAAACAAGAAGGAAGTAGGTTCTGCAAGCTAAAGATGAAGGCAGTCAGCTGCGGGAGGAAGGAGGGAGGTCTGTGTTCCACTTCACCTTTCATAACTATTTGTTTTCACCTAATGATCTCTCTGGAGTGTAAAAGGAGGAGTTAAACCAGTGTATGACAATTTGTCCGGTCATGCACATTTGATGTTGATTTGATTCAAACATGATGAATGTATCTGGGTTTGGCTTGCATCATGACTGACTTAAACTTGTGACCTAAACAAGACTCAAAAAAAAAAATCTGTCTAAAGTTGGGCTTTCTGTTTTGGAATTTATGTCGGTTGTCTGATCCTTTTAGTTCTGCAGATATTTCAATAACATTGCAAAACCAAGGCAGAGATGCATTTAAACCTGAAGTGTATGGGGACTCTATAATTGTGAATCAGCACATTAATCTCGATGGAAGCAGAAGTTACAGACTGAAAAGCAAATCAGGTCAGTGATCCTGTAGTTTTATTTTTGTTACTTTAATTTCCTTAATATTAGCAAAGGATGATTATTAAGGTCAGCTTTTTTGCATTTACCTTAGATCATGACATGTTAACATATTCTTAAGCAGTTGCATCATGTTCTGCATGATGTAGGTCATAGAGTATTTTGCTTTATGTATGCTTGTGTGATGAGGCTGAGCATAGTTTATAGTCTTTGAATTTTTGGTGAATTTGCAGATTTACCTATCTTCTAACAGAAGAGAGTTTAGAAGATGAGTATTAATTTTTACTTACTACTGATGGTGATTATAACCACTAATGGTTAATTCTAAACAAATGTAAAATGGTATTTTTAACTTAAAATGAAAACAGTGCTTAACTAATTTTTAGTGTTAAGAGGCACTAAGTTGGATAGAAGGCTGGGATTTTGTATTTGTTTTTGCTTTGGGCCTATTTTTTATCTTCTCTTTTGTACTATTAGGGACCTTAATTTCTTCAAAGAAAGAGGAACTTGTAGCAATACTGGATCATTTTAATATACAGGTAATTGTTACAGTGTTTGAATTCTGTGAAGTTCAAGACATTAACTTATAATGTTACTGATTTTTAAATAAAAACCAATGCTGAATTTTATTAAGTGACAAAAGTTTGCCTTTTTCATACTAATTTTCATGATCACACCTAATGGCAAAAGAATATTTTAATTTAATGCAAGTCAGTGCAGAATATGGCCCTATCCTAATACATAAATGTTAGATATAATTTGTGAGCTATGAGTCATACCTTGTTAATGAAAGTCTTAGGTTTTCTTAATACCTGCTCTCTGGGAGTTTTGTTTGCTTCTTAAATGATTTAGGAGAGATCAGATTGTGCACACAAAGCTATGGAATACGCAATAATTTCACCATATCTAGTAATAGAAACTTCTATTACTAAATGATGAATTTGCTATTTTGTGCAAATTTCCTTAAGAAGTTATAGGACAATTATTTGAATGTAATACTTAGAATTTTTTAGAGAGGAATTAAACATCACTGGACAAAATCCATATCTCAGTTTTATTGAAAATAAATGAAGAAAGGAGGCCCTTTCTTTCTAGAAGTCAGTTATCCTCCTGAAAACAGTTTGAGTATGTCCTTTTGTGGTTTAAGCTTGTACTCGGTAAAGTTTATAAAATAAGTGGACTGGTTAATTTCTAGAGGAGGAAGCTTACTCACTTTCATGGATTAAGTGAAGTTTTAATTTTAATATTTTCCTAAAATGGAAAGCAAATATTTATTTTTATAGGTCGATAACCCTGTGTCTGTTCTAACTCAAGAGATGAGTAAGCACTTCTTACAATCTAAAAATGAAGGTGACAAGTACAAGGTAAGAAAAAATTATTTGATGTTTTCATTTGTAAAAATATATTTGTAAAAATATATTTGTAAAACTAGTCTTTTATGAAACCTAACAATTAAAAAAATAAAGTCAAAATACTTGGTTTCAAATTTTAGGAAGAGGCATTTGGAGGAGAAAAAAATTCTTTTTAGAAGTACCTGAATGGCTGTTTTATAATCAAGTAATTAGACTAAGGATTTGGGATTTTAAGTCCCTTTTCTCTAAAGAGGTTGGTAAATTCTTAGGACATTAAGTTCATCACTCAAAGATATTCCTCCAATTGAACTTTGTGTATCACTTAATATACATAGAGGTTGAGATGAGCGGTCTTTATGTTGATATTAATTATGACTCATTTAGATAAGCTGTTGACATCTGCATCTCTGCTCCTTTTTAGTTTTTTATGAAAGCAACTCAACTGGAACAAATGAAAGAAGATTATTCCTATATTATGAAAACAAAAGAAAATACATGTCTTCAGATAGAGCAGGGAGTAGAGGTATGTTTCAATTTTGGTAACTATTAATTAGTGCAGGGCTGAGCACTGAAAGAATTATAGTTAGCATGTGTATTTTTGTTTTGGTTGGATTTTTGTGATGTTAGGCTTCAAAAAGTAAATCTTTCCAAGATTTTGTATTTTAGCACTTTTACGCATTCACAGTTAAACTTTTTTTGTTACTGTCTTTTTCATAGCGTCTACGAGAACTTAAGCTTCATTATCATGAAAAAAAAGAACGCTACAAAAGCATTGGGGTTGTGAAAGAAATGCGAAATCATCTTGAAGAGTTGAAACATAAAATGGCATGGGCAGTGGTAAACTTGTTCCTAATATGTTTCCTAATATGTTTAAATGATTTTCATATCTGCCTTGGACCTTCTGATGTGTGCTCATAAATGCTTGTGCTTAGGTGACTGAAATGGAGAGAGAAATACAGCCAATCAAAGAAAGCATCAAAGTTGAAGAAGAACGTACAGAAAAATTTGTTCAGAAGCTAGAAGAATGTCAGGTACGCACACACACACACATACATATATATATGTGTATGCATTTTTTTTAAACCATATTTTAATTTACTCATCTTTACTCAATAAAACTTTTAAAACTGTGATTCTTCTTTTACATGTAAACTGTTAATACTGGCCTTCTCAGCTTTTTCACAAACTGCTGCAACCTGAAAAATATTATAAATATTATTGGTTAGCTTTTATATGCTTCTTTAGTCATTGAAGACTTAATGTAACTCCTGCATTCTACATTTCCTTGGAGTAGAATATGAGGGTGTTTTGCTGCTTATTGTTCTGGAAGGGAGTGTGTCTGTGTGTGGTTATCAGGCTGATACTGCTGACTCATGTAATGGTTTTTTATGTTGACAGTTTGAGGTGGCTAGTATTCCATATATAGTGAGTGGACATTTAAAACATTTCTTTTAGTTTTATTGTTGAGAGTACTTATGCAACACCTATTTCTGTAACGTTAGTGCCTTTTTCAGAAATCTGCTACTTAGGATTCTTTGGATGTCATTGCTCATGGAAAAGATCAGTATCTGAATTCAGGAAATGCTTGGAAATTGACTCTTGTGATGGCACTAAGCTTGCTGGATGCTGTAAGAAAGATTAATTTTGCTAAGCGTTCAGATTCACATAAGCAATCTGCATTTTGCAGAAAATAGTATTTTTTTTGGAATTCCCTTTCTAAAGGAAGGTGTCAATTTCTTGCTGAAGTATATGTGTGCATGCATATAAATAATTATTTGTGCAATTTTACTTCATTGCAAAAACTTGCCTATAAAGGTACGTTGTCCAGATACTGGTTTCTCATCAAAAGTGAGACATGTCAGCAGAGAGAAGAAAACTATCATTCAAAATTATTTATCGTGTTAAGAAGAAGGGAGAAAATCTTGCATTATTGCTACCTGTAATCCTGTATCTCTTGATTATAAAGGTGAAAATAAACGAAGCAGAAGAAAAATACAAAACGATACAAGACAAGTTGGAAAAGATAAGTGAAGAAGCACAAGCTCTACATCCTCAGTGTGTTTCTTCAAAAGCTGATGTGCAGGCAGGGAGAAAAGCAGTCAATGAAGCTGAGGTAACCAACAGAACTGTTGAAGATTGTACTGATTTATTGCCTTAATGCTGTCTATGTCCCACTCGTATGCATTCTTTGCATCTATGTTTCTGAATGCATTGCGCGTTTCTATGCAATTCCAAACATGCAGCTTTCTGTTTGAGTTGAAAGTAACTTCTGTTTGAGGCTGTAGGGTTTATATCTTAATACTAGTGTTAAGCAGTGAGCAGCTTAGCCTGTTCACGTTAAAGAACCACAAAATGGAAAAGGACCAGTAACACTGTTGATTTGAAATTCAAGTTCTGTTCCTCTTGAATATAGGGAATTGTTGTTCAGATACAGTTGAGTAATTATTTTCTCAAAATTGCACTTAGTTCTTTTCTGGAATAATTCTTATTTCTGTTGATTCAACTAATATTCCAACTTCTTTCATAGGCCGTTTATAATCGTTTCAGAACTGAGTTGAAACGTTTGGGAAGAGATGATGAACAGCTACGTAAACGAATTGAAGAACTGAAAAATAGGTAAATACAGATATGTTGATTCTTATGTATAGTTATTTGGGTATAGCTATGCAGGAAGAGAGGTCTTCTGATTAATGAGAACACTTGATGATGCTTGTGTACTCAATCTTTAGCAGAGTCTAACTGAATAATTAAATATCACTGACTCTGTTTCTTTGCCTACCAAGTTTTTGACCAGAGGACAATGAGGTAATAAGATGGGAGGGAGGAGAGGGAAGCTTTAATTTGGCAATAGCATACATTTCTAATTTCAGTGGCGTTTTAGAGGACATGATTTTGGGACTCAACACGAATATAATAGGAATGCTAAAAAGGGAGAGCTATGTGGGATTACAAATAGGAAAAAGTAGGGTGCTGTAAAGTTTATGCTGTGTAGATCTTGTAGATCTTTTAAATACACTAAATATTAGATACAGTTTTCTGATACATAGATCTTTGTTTTAGAAATGGTATCATATAAGAAGTTTTAATTTATAAATCATCAATTAGGTTTTAAAACATAAATGTAATCTGTTCTAGTGCTAATCAGGTTTCAGAGCCTGAGAAGTTGGAAAGACAAAGGAAAATTGAACAGTTAAAAGAGGATTTAAAGGCATTCTCTGATCAAGAAATAATGATTAGTCAACAAATGGATCAGTTTCAGCACGCCATATATAAGTGCAAGGAAGAACAAGCTGCAGTGAGGTAGGTTCTACTTTTGAGTATATAGGCATCTCCTTGCATTGCCTGAGGTATTTAGGCTTCAGCTTCTGTGTGTGTTTGTTCTACTCTGTTTTTCCCCCCAGTGTCTTAGAACTTCTACTAAAACTTTTGCCTTTGACAGAGTATGACTGAATTTAGAAACATTTAGAAAATAATAAAGCTTGTTTCATTAACTAATTCAAAGCCTGCTATAAAGCCAGACTTTCAAGTTTAATGTCTTTCTTTTCTTCCTACCATCTGTATTTTATCCCAGAGAAACTGTCATTTAAATTCTTGTCTTATTTAATACCCTAGTATATTTGGATAGTGTCACAACATATATAATATGGAATAAGGAATTATATGCATTCAAAGATAACAATTGTATCTATAGCTAAATCCAAATTTAGAAACTTCAAACTGCTTGCTTCGTGTTAGCCCATACCTGAACTAAAAGAGCAAAGTGTTCTTACACTTTAGTTTGGAAACCTGACTTTAAAAAATGGTTCTTGTTGGTGGTTGTGGTGATACTGTCATTATTGTTTCACTGGTTTTGAGAATAGCTGCTTGTTGCACTTGATATGTTTGAACACTTAGTGTTCAAACATCTTTTAATTATCGGCAACAACATAGTTTATTTTTGTATTCTGTTGAAGACCTTCCTGGAAGACTTTGAAAGTGAAGTATGTAAATACAAATACAATTTCCATTTACATTCCTGAACTGCCTTCCGTATTTCTATCATCTGATGGGTTTATATACATATTGTTTACGTAGTGATATCCATGTTAAAAACTCTTAACGTGTTAAGTCCCTCGATCTGTAAAACATAATTCATGTTGGAACATTCTGTCTTCTTGTTGGACTTTGACTTAATTAGGTTTTTTGGTGGGTGAATGCTGTTAGGATTTTGTACCTTCTCACATTTTTGGAAATCTCTCTTCTCCTCTCCTTTGACATTCTTGCTTCTGCTGTTCTGCTTCCCTTTGTACCTTTCCTCATGATAAAAAACAAAATCTTGTAAAACAGAGTAGTTCTGTTTCTTCTTAATTTCTTTTGTCTTGTGTTTCCTGATGCTACAGAGTATCGTTGCAGATCTATAGCTAGCTGTATATAGAAGTATTGAGAAGGTCTTGACCAACTGTCTTACTAGTATTTGAAAGCAAAGAAGTTATTTCTAATTATTTGTTTTAAATTAGTAATCATAAGCTGTTAATTTTGGACCAAAAATTCTCTTCTCTTAGGAAGGAAGAACATGATGTGAGGCAAGCGCTGGATTCCAAGCTGAAACAGCTGAGAGAGCTGAAAGATAGTAAAACTAATACTTTGAAAAGATTTGGACCACATGTGCCAGCATTTCTTGAAGCACTTGAAACAGCCTATAGGCAAGGGCACTTTAAATACAAACCTGTTGGACCTTTAGGTAAGAGTGACAGCTGAAAAGAAAATTAGTATTCTTCCTTATGGGTTTTATTGTAGTGAGCAGTGAACTTAAGGGGGGAGAAAACTGTCATTTAAGGAGCCTTTTTTCTGCTATGTTTTCTGGACTAAAGGTTTTGTTTTGGTAAGTTCTGTTGCTTCTGTTCTTAATCATGTGAACTAGATGACATCTGATCTTCCTCATCTTTGCAGCTGTTTTTTGTCAAGGTACTTTAAGTAGCTACAACAGAAGACTTCCTGTCTGCACCTCTCCCCACAGCTTTGATTTGATTTCGTGACTCATTACCATTCTTGTTTTTTTTCAACCCTCAGGCTTTTCTCTGTTTAGGAAGATAGTTTACGTGGTAGTTTTTGCAAAGAGGGGGTCTTGTCTACAACCATAGTGGTGCATTTTCTTCTCTAATACACAGCAGTGGAGATGTCTGTGGGCTTTGCGTTATGTGGAACAGTTAGTCCTAAATCTGTAGAAGATAGTCTGTAAGATGGTCACTCCTCATATGAGGAGAAAGACTCTTGTTCCTCCTGAATACTCGAGCTGATGAAGTTCAATCGTCTCCAAGCTGATGAAGAGCTGAGCATGGCTTCAAGAGGAGCAACTGAGCCAGGGGAACCTGTGCCACGCAGGAACATCTGGAAGAAGACTGTAGTCAGTGATTCTGTGCTCTATAGGACAGAAGCGCTTATTTGTGACCTGATCTCTAGCCTAGAAGTTTGCTGCCTGATGGGTGCTTGATCTTGAATGTTGTGGGAAGACTGCCAAATGAGGTCTCTTGCACTCTGTGCTCACAAGGGCTGATTAGAGATGTGAAGGTTGGGGCAGCCTTGGCTGCAGTGGCCCTGAGATAATGCAGTTTGGGATCCTTTGAGGAGGAAGCAAGGCAATAAGTAGGATTCTAACCCTGATCTTCAGGGAAGCAAACTTTGGCCTCTTCACAGACCTTCTTGGAGGAAGAATGCATAGGGACATGGAAGAGTGATCCAAGAGAGCTGGTTCAATGGTCCTCTTCTTCAGGCTCAAGAACAGTCCCAATGAACAAGAAGTTGAATAAGAAGGATAGGAAACCTGTATGGTTGTACAAGGAGTTCCTAGCAAAGCAAAGAGAATACGAAAGTACAGATAAGATGGAAGCAAGGATAGGGCACTTGGGAACATTACAGGAATGTTGTCAGCGCATGCAGACTTGGTAGGTCAAGGCCCAGGAGGAGTTAAATCTGGCAAGAGATATCAAGGACAGCAAAAAGGGCAAATGTATCAGTAGCAGAGGAATAGCAGGGAGAATGTGGATCCGCTACTTAGCAGGTCAGAGGCCCTGGAAGTGAAGGGTACAGTGAAGGCAGAGATACTGAATGCTACCTTTGCTTGAATCTTTACTAGTAAGTCTAGCTGTTAGAATCGCAAACTCTGGAGACCGGGGAGAAAGTGTAGAAAAAGGGAGACATGCTTTTGATGTAAAAGGATTGGGTTAGAGATTATGTGAGTAAGATTGACATCCACAAATTCATGGGCCCTGATGGGATGTACCTACCACTGCCGAGAGAGCTGGCAGATGTTATTTCTGTCCACTCTCAGTCATCATGACAATCAGGAGAGGTGCCTGAGCATTGGAAAATACCTCATGTCACTCTGGTCTTCAGAAAGGAGGGTGTAGAGAGCAACAGACCACTCAGCCTCATATTAATCCCTGGGAAATTGATGGAACAGCTCCTCTTGTCTGTGAAGGATAAGAAGGTGATGGGGCTAGTCAGTATGGATTCACCAAGGCCAATCTGATAGGATTGAATAATTATCTATCATAAAATAATTCTTTGGCGTGACTGGCTGGGTAGGTGAGGGGAGAACAGTGGATGTTGCCTACTTTGATTTCAGTGAGGTTTTTGACATCTCCCATAACATACTTATAAGCAACCTCAGGATGTGTGAGGTAGATGAGTAGACAGCAAGGTAGGGCAAAGCTCCAAGGGTTGTGCTCAGTGGCCTAAAGTCCAGTTGGGGGCCTGAAGCCAGCAATGTCCGCTGGGCTCAGTACTGGGTCTAGTATTTAACTTAGCCACCAGTGACCCACATGAAGGTACAGAGTGAACCCTAAGCAGTTGTGCTGATGATGCCAAACTGAGAGGAGTGACTGACCCCCCAGAGGGCTGTGCTGCCCTTCAGAGGGACCTGGACAGGCTGGAAAAATGGGCAGAGAGGAATCTCATGAAGTTCAACAACGGGAAGTGCAAAGTGCCTTACCTTGGGAGAAATAACCCAGTGCAGGGTGGGGGATGACCTGTTGGAAAGCAGCTCTGTGGAGAAGGACCTGGGAGTTCCTGATGGTGAAGTTAACCCTAATCCAACAACATGCCCTTGTTTGTAGGAAAAGTGCATTATATGCCTATATTCTCAGGGCATCTTGTCTGTTGTGAGGCTGTTGTGTCCCTCACCCTGCTAATTTTAGATTTTATTTTCCTCTCTTACAAAGGACTACTTAAGGATTATTTTAAGTGATAAAATGACTATTGAACTTAAGTTATGGAACACAACTCCTTAAGCTTTGTCTTTTATGTTTATTCAGGTGCTTTCATTCATCTGAAAGATGCTGAATTGACTTTGGCTGTTGAATGTTGTTTAAAAGGCCTAGTTCAGGCATTTTGCTGTGATAATCATAATGACGAAAGAAATCTTCAGATGCTGATGACAAAGTATTACCCATCTGGGTTTCGACCTCAAATAATTGTAAATAAATTTCAGAATAAAGTTTATGATGTTAGACACAGGTAAGCTACATTTTGAATTTTATTGTTTAGTGGTTCAAATTATTATTTTTTGGAAGCAAATACTTACTATTTTAAAGAATCTCATGTGACCTTTATAAGTGGTTGTTTTTTTCCTCTTTCTTCAGAGGAGTTCATCATCCAGAATTCCCGTCGGTTCTCACAGCACTGGAAATAGATGATGCAGTGGTTGCCAATTGTTTGATTGATATCAGGAGTATAGAAAGGGTTCTGCTGATTAAAGTAAGAGTCCCCACTCCCTACTGGCCTTTAAAGAAAGAAAGATACTGCCTTTTTTTTGTAGACTTCGTAACCTTCTTGGATAGTATCTACAATTGTTTAAAAAAAAGAATAAAAAGTAGCTAAGGGCTTTTTCCCTAGGACAATAATAATTACAGACACTGTGGCGAGCCCTCATGGTATCAGTATTATAATGCAGCACACAGACACATGTGCTCCTGCGTGAGGACTCCCCTTAATGGCTTTAGATTCAGTAAACTGTTTGTATCCTATTTTTTTTTACACGGTTTTCTGTCATGGGTAAGACAAGTTAAAATGTCAACCAGTTTTCAGATTTATTTAAAAACCAACAAGTTTAGAGCTTTTATTCTCCTTTAGTTATTTCACATGTGTACTTGCATGCTCCCCACAGCATTGCATTCAGTAGATCTTGACTTACCACTCCAGCAGGAGATGGCTGCAATGCTAGGATGGTCTCATGGAAAACTGTTGGTTTTTATCATGCAGATACTTGCAGTTAACCATTTTGAGCCTTATTGTTCAAGGACCCTGGGTGTTCCCCAATATTTGTCTCTGTGGAACCCCAGTTCCAGGATTTACTGCATACCCGAGGTGTTTACCCCCTTACTCTCCAAGCGCTCAAGTTTACTAATCTAAATACTCTATGTGCAACATGTACAGAGTACAGCATGTGATCAGTCTCCTATTTGGTGGTTCTGTCTCTTATTTCCCTTATTTCTTTAGTATTTTGTGTATTTGGGATGTGCCTAGCTTTTTAAATTATTTATTTATTATTATTTCCAGTGTTACTGAAGTTTAAAACCACTTTGTAGCAGTTGCAGCTAGAAAATAGTGAGCTTGTGCTTGAGACTTCAAAAGTTCAGTTTTGGACATTGACCCACTCACACTTGCATAAAATTGTCTCAGTCCTGTTAGTTTTCCATTCATTTTCCAGTTACCAAAGCAACCAAAGCCACTTTGAACACTGCTGCGTTAAATCAGTTTTGATGAGAGAATGTAAAGAAACATTTTGGGGTATATAGTCTGGAAAACCAAGAGTGACAATAGTCAACTATTAAAAAACACTTTAATGAGGTGATTAGAAACAGGCATTAAGCTAAGCTTTCATACAGTTTTAGTAGCATATATTTTTAATCAACATAAGACCTACATTAATGAACTGTTTTCTGTCACTATGATAAAATTTTATCTCAATTGTCTTCTGATTTTTTTTCTTATTACTAATGAAGATATTAACCCCAGCAAAGATGACTGTGGATGAACTGTTCAAAAATAAAGATTCATTTAGAGAAACAAAGAGCAAACAGCAGAAGTAATCATGCTTGATTTCTTGTGGTTTATCTTTTCCTCCAGAACTGTTTAGTTTGTCCTCTGACATTCCTACTAGAAAAGAGAACTTTTGCTCTGTCTAGTCGAGAACTAATCGACTATTTAGAAAATGTTGCCATTGCTGATTGGCATGAATGACAGCTGTGTTCTCTTTGCCTTTCTCATAATAGCAATGCTAGTTTTGATCTTATTTTCCCTTGCGATTTATTATCTCTAGTTATGTTAGCTCTGGTTACATTTAGGTATTTATACTATTATATATTGTACGTGTATATTCATGCTACTATGCATAGTTATCTAATAACTGATTTTCATAACATTCTTAATTATCTTTGAGACTTATCAGAATGGCTTGAGTCACATCTGAAAAAAATTTGAACAGGTGTTGTGTGGAAGAAAGAGACTTCTGAATCAATGACATGATTGCATAAGGATTAATTTCCTCAGATACTGATACTTTTGACCCCTTAGTCCAGCCCTCACTATTTTCTAGCAGCAGATTTCCCCAAACTTTAGCTGATTGTTTTTTGATTAAAATCTCTAAAAGAATGTTGAAGTATTTTCTGTATGCGTATCCCATTTTTGATAGTTAATTATAGTGAATGTTAAGAGTGACCTTTCCACGACAAGTTACGAAAGACTAATCAGACTGTAAAGCTTACAGTTTAAATAATTCTGTAACAAAGAATAAAAGAAAACTGCAACTGAGCAGTGTTTGTTTGTTTTAGAAGGCAAACTTGAGAATTTGGGATAGTTTTCAATAGGAACATTTAATTACATGTTTTTCTATAGATATAAGGTCATTGTATTTTTCAGAGTAGCTATAAAGCTCGTAAGGTAATGCAGAGCAGCGAGCCCCCCAAAAATTGCAGAGAAGCTTTCACTGCCGAAGGCGACCAGGTATTTGATAGACGATATTACTCCTCTGATTACCTCCGACCCAAGTACCTGAGCAAAGATGTTGAAGCAGAAATAAGGTTAGTATTTGTAATTCTGTGTTCATAAAAATTGCTTTTTTGGGAAATAGATAGTAGAGTGGAATATATCTACTTGGATATATGTGCATGAGAAACACAGACGCACACAGCCTGTAGTCTCGTTTGTTGGTAAGGCTTCTCTTTGCCTCTATTTTGTTTAAAGTTTCCTGGGTTGAATACTCCACAAAGTATGCCTGTTTTACCCCTACCAAGAGTGGCAGTTTGATTTTTACCAAAGGAATCAAAGCTATTTCTTTTAAAATCTGAGTCCTGAACATGGTACTGTAATTTACTGCAAAGGAAGCATATTCAAACCAAGGCACTACTGAGGCGCTAATGGTAGTTGTTGTTTTAGTTGACTTTTAAAATGTTGTTTTGAAATGTATTGCAAAGATAAGCCTGAGCTTTCACCAAGCAAATCGGTGCCACTAGAAAACTTTTATTTTGAACCCCGCTTTGTATTAGCATTTTACTTTCCATATTACTAGCTGGTAGTGTAGACTGAATGCTAAAACCCTTGTAAACTTGAAATCTTTAAATGTAAGGTAGCTGTGCTTTGTTTATGTCAGTATGTAATGAACTTCATTTGAAGATTACTCTGATAACTTCCAAAGTGTTACAGTAACTTCATTATTAGTATTAGAATGGGAGAATGATGTGTGCAGGACTATTTTTACAAGCACTTAAATAGTGCAATATTTGGCCTGTTTGCTAAATTGCTAACAAAGGTTATGGACAGTTAGAATTTTATGAATGCTTTACCCACTAAGGGCTGAACAGAGGCCATCAAGCAACTGTCTGCTGGTCCTTTTATACCCTCTATTTTTGTCTTGCTTCATTCTTTTTTTTGTATCTTTCTGTGTGTGTGTGCATGTATATTATGTGTATATAAAAATTACACCTTTTTTTTTTGAAAGTCACTTGGAAAAAGAAATTGAATACAAAAAGGCACAACTGGCAACATCTCAGCAACGTTTGCATTTTATTGAAAGTGAGATTAAGCAGAACGAAGATCATCTTCATAATCACCGACGACACCAAAAAGAATTACAGGTAAAACAGATCTACTGTTAATGTACAGAAACTGGGTAGTAATTCCTCATCTCATTGGATTCTTGTGATATATTCTGAGTGAATGGTAGTTTATTTTAGTTTTCTTTTATGTTGCTTCTGTTCTGTATGTTAGAACAGAACAGTTTTGGGTAGGAGGTTTTTATACGCAGGTTTTGTTTGTTTTTCTCAGAATGCAACCTTTCTCGTGCTAAGTTTTGCAAGTAAAGTCTCCGCATCTTTTTGTCCCACCTTACAATAGTTGATATATGTTTTTTTCCCCAGATTTTCTCTTTCTTCCCCTATTCTTTCCATTGAGTCTTGCCTATATGCTCCTAGAATTGAATTTCTTTAACTGCTTAGTCTTGTCCTGTGTGATTTCTGTTAATAGTAAATAGGATGGTGGTTAATAGTAAATATTGATGGTGGTGTGCGGTATAAGATAACATAAACTATACAAGGCTATACCCAATGAATTGTAAGTTAGGAATAGCAAGCTAGAACACTGTTAAGTTGCTGGGAAGGAATTGCAGAAAAAATAAGACTGCTTCGTTGAATAGAAATACAGTAATAATTTAATCATGAAAGTGCACGTTGCTTTCAGAACCAATTTTTGATTTTACAGTAAAGGACTCCAGAGTTCAAGGTTTTGGGGAAAGGGTGGAACGAAAGCTCTTATGCAGGCCCTGATGCAACTAAAAAGCCAAACATGTTTACTTCAATGAAGAAGAGATAACTTTTCTTTTTAGATGAACTTACAAATACTTGTTTTTGTTTTCAGATAAAAATAAGAACAACAAGTGCAGAAATTTCAGATCTTGAGAATACAGAGGAACACCAGTCAGTGGACATTCGTACATTAGTAAGATTGGATTTTAAAATTCTTTCTAATAAGGATCTGAAATTATCTATTTTCAGGCTGGCAGTATTTTTGAATAGGAAATATGCAAATGCTGTATGTACAGTAACAACTGGGATGAAAGTTATATAAATAGTGAAAAGTGTTTTATTTTAATGAAGTGTCTGCAATTATGGTAAGAGGGTGTGTGTGTGTTGTGTTTATTTGGTTTTGGGTTCTTTTTTTCCTCTCTCTTGTGCCTCATTAGCTTCCCATGCCAATTCTACCATTATCTAATCTGGGATCCATGAGAGATAAAGTTACCAACAATTCTCTAGATTTTTTTTTTTTGTTTTCTAGCTTTTGGTGTTGATACAATCTTGCAGCCTCAATATTTCATCTTTCTCTGTGGACCCAGTTATTTCAAGTTATTTAGAGTATGTGTACAGATTCGATAAGCTCCTCAAGGATTCCTTGTTCCAAATAATCTACCTCTATTGGTTTAGAATAATGCATGTTCTCTTTGTCCATTTAGTGGAATTCGAAATATTCTACTACCTTTCTGTTGGAGAGTATCTCATTGTCTTCTGGAAATATTCTACTCTCTGTTGGAGAGTATCTCATTGTCTTCTGCAGCTCCAAAAAGTTATTGGCTGCACAATTCTTCAACAGAAAAGCTTCTCCTATTGCTGGCTGATAATGGTCTTGTGCAGCTGTTAGCTTTATATATATATAGCTTTCCTTATTTCTATCATGGATCTTTGATATCTTTCTCAATTTTCTGCACTTTCTCACCAATACTGTGTACTAATTGCTGTTCTTGGCCATTTTTCATTACTAGTTTAATTTCATTGCCTTGAGTATGAAAAAGTATCTTACCAATACAAGTTTTCACTCTCATCTTCTTCTCCCCTGCTCTGCTTAGGAATGTCGTACTTGTCTAGCAAACAGGGATGGGCAACTTATATTCAATATAAAGAGAATATAGGAAAAGTCTATATTGTCACAGATCCAAAGGTTACCTTTCTCATGGCTTAGAAAATCACTATATTGAAATATTATAATAGCCAAATCTAAGCAAAATCCTAATCACTGAAGTCTTTCATCACATCTCCAAAATTAAATCCAATTAATTTTCAGGCAGATAATTAGGACATTACCTTTTTGTTTTGCGATTTGATTTAGCGATCTCCACCAGGCTCTGTCAAACTGTACTCCCGGGCTTTATGAGTAATTTTATTGATTTTTTGTATTCTTACTAGAGAATTTGGTGCAATATATGTAATAGATTACTACTGGAAGTGATACTAAGAATTTGTGCACAGTGATATGCAGATCTTTATCATTTTAATATATTTTGACAGGAAGATGAAGCTGAAGAAAACAGGAATAGAATGGAAGTTGTAAAGCAGGAAATGATGCAACGAAGTAGAGAGATGGAAAATCAGAAGGATATTTTACAGGAAGCTGAAAAAAGACTTGAAGAAATGAAAGAAAAAATTCACCAAGTAGAAGAAATTGCTGGTCCAGTTAAGGTAGCAATGACTTTATTTTGTATTTTTTTCTTCATTTGCTTTGTGTAGTCAGAGAGATAGTGTTAGAAGGAGGCAGGAGAAAGGTGTGTTCCTTCCTGATGCACTTAAGGCATGAAAAAAGGAAATAGGCCAGTCTGGCCAGGGCACATCAGTAAGCAAAACTGGAAATGCTTGGAAGTTGATTGTAATAGCTGCTACTGTTAGGCTGAAAGCAAGTTTAATTTCTTCTTAAGTATCATGAGTTGGAAAGTGGCTTTTTATTATTATTTATTTATTTATGATTCCTTCTGATAAGACCTTAGTAAAATTATGTATAAGTGGCCATTTTCAAAATGGTGCATGAAGTTAAATGTATTTGGGGTTATATATATTCTCATTCTCTCTCTCCGTATGTATGTGCAAATTTAAACTGTAGATTGGTATGTAGTCAGCCTAATTAAAAAACGTAAAAGTAAACAGAGGAAGGAAGCAGGTAAGGAAAATAACTGATAAATGTACGATAATAGTATTGAAGATGTTCTCTTTCCTTCCAACATTCTTTTTAAAAAGAATAGATGTATTCAGGCTATTAGCACGTTATTGCTAGATAGTAAGGGGACTAAACAGAGTGAAAGGTGACTGTTAAATTCCTGAAATGGTGTTTCAGATTAGATGTTCTTCTACACAGTTCTTTAACAAGCTGTTCATGTGTATGTGGCTTAAAGGTGTGATTGGACTGATGAGAGTATCTGTTGTTGGCAAGAGTGGTGGGTTTGTTTTGTTATATAGTAAATTTTATAATTGTAGTAGGCCCTCTGTTTTCTTATAGAAACATTCTGACTGGAATGCGGTGTAAAAAAATAAATGTAGTTTTCAGAGTTTTACAAGAAATGCTATCTTTTTTGAAGATTAAAACATAATACTCCAAGATATGGTATACAATCATTATCAATTCAATTTTGGGAAGCAGTATAAACGTGTAGTGTTTTCGTGTTAGGAACAGGTAAAACTTTTCAGTCCATTGCTGTTAAAGCACTGGACCTCAGAAGAAATGATCATGCTGGACACAGAGTTAGATGGTGTTAAATACAGCATAAATACCATTGGAATCTACCACAAACATTCCACACTTTTTAAAACTATTCCAAACAGGATGAATTAAACCAAGCTGACTCCGAAGTAGAAAACAGCAAGCGCCGTTTCGAGCACTACGAAGGAAAACAGAAGGAACACTTGGCTTGTATAAAAAGACATAAAGAATTACTAGCTAACAAAGAAAAAGAATTAGAGGTAGTATATTTTTGTTTGTTTCTTTCTTTGGCAATTGAAATCAGGTCATCTGTATCCTTTTAGTATTTAGGTACTTGGTTGTTCTGTTGAATGACATATAGACCATAGTAATGCTCAGGTTTTTGGCTTGGTCAAAGCCATTCATGCATAAATCAAAAGTGACTTTGTATGTATGTCAAGGCTTCTTCTTGTCAGGCATATCACCTTTTAGTCTTTACCTGTAACTTCGGTATTTGGGGTTATCTAGCTGGGACTTCTGGATTTATAGATTGCAAAGATTAGAATGACTTCGAATACAATTTTTATGATCAAATGGCATAAATTTAATAGCGCTTTGGATTTCACGTGGAAAGGTTTTTTCTTCTTTTGTAAAGATCTCATACCTTGATCTTTCAGAGATTTATCTAATCAAGCTTTATTAACTAACTCTGAAGTGAAGCTCAGAGAGTTTTGAGACTTAGGTGCTATTGAAACATGGTGAATTTTTCCCCTGATTTATCTACATTAGATAAGTAATGGTGAATACATTAGAGTTCTCAGATGAATACAGCACTTGTCACTGAAATAACTACCTACTTCTAACTGTTTTTAGTTTAAAAAAAAAAAGGAAAGGAAAAAAAACAGTAATTTTGCTGTAAGGAATGATCCACAAAGAACAAAATAAAGACATTGTTCTTGCTTGGAAAACTTGATTTTTTTGAATAATGGAAAAAAAAAAAACCCAAACTTATCTTTGAAACTATAACAATTTACCGAATTTCAAACTTCAGGAAAAAATAGCACAAGCAAGGCAAATATACCCAGAGCGCCTTGAAGTTGGCAGAACTGTTAAGAGTCTTGATGCAGAAATGAATCGCTTGAGAGAGAGGATAAACTCAGAAAAAGATCGTCATGGAAACAGAGAAGAAATTATTCAGTGAGTAATTTTGAATTTATGCATAGTTCAGGTATGACAGGCATTCAAAGAATAGTTTTCTTATTGGATCATGATGATATGATTTTTAATATTTCTACTATATGTGACACTGTAGAAATGTGCTGTTCTGACTGCTTATGCAAACAATGCTGAGCAGGCTGGTGGGTGTTGAACTGCCTTGTAATGATTTCCAGGTGGTCCCTGCACTGTGGTGTTAGCAGTTATCAACTGCTCTTGATTTTTATCTGCACCCCAGTGATAACCAGGTAGTGTGACTGGACCCCAGGTGGATCCATTGAGAGCATTCTGGGATCCATTGGACGTTAGTTGCACTTCTAGACTGAAAAACTGATAGAGAAGTTAAACAGCTGAATGTTTGATTGCAGTGTGTTTTAAGAAGTTACTTCTTGGATACTCTTAAACATGAGTAGCTTAATTGTTAGTTCTCTTTGGAACATTTTATTTTATAAGAAGGAAAAGTAGAAGTAAAACTTATTTTTTGACCCCTTTTCATTTGTGGTTAACCTTAACCTGTCAGAATGCTTCTAGCTTCAAAACAAAACTTTCATCTAAATGAAGATTTTTGGCTACTGGGATAGTTTTCAGTAGTTAAAACAATTGCTGTTTTTTATGTATGTTGATAATAGACTTTCTGTTGATTAAAACAGGCAATTTTTTGATGCAAAGGAAAAATTTGAAGATGCTAACAGTAAAGTAAAAAATTTAAAGAAATTTATTAAGCTACTGGAAGAAATAATGACACATAGATTTAAAATTTATTGGCAGTTCTTAAGGTGAGTCAATTTTACTGTAACTTCAGTTGTCAAATAACACGTATAGAAGTAAGTGTTTTCTTACTTCTATAAGTATATATAAGAATATATACCTTATATATATAAGTATGTATGTATGTATATATATATATATATATAAATATAAGAATTTTATAAGAATATAAAAATACAGTTGTTTCCAGCAATATCAGCAAAATAAACTGTTAGGTTTCTATACTTCATGTGCTAAATTTAATTCATATGATATAAATATGCTGGATAGCAGCATATTATTTTGCCTTTTCTAAGGCAACTAAATTGATTTCATATAATGAAAGGTGTGCTAGAATGTACTTCATTGGAAGCGATATAGAAAACTCATCGCCAAAGTCTGACAGTTTTTGAAGTCTTTAGTAGAGCTTCATAAAATAAGATCTGTTCTACACGTTATGTTTATAACATAAATAATTATTCATGGCTAGGCTTCGCGAACGAAGAGATGGGAAGGGCTTTACCCTTCTTTACTGCAAGCACGCTGATGGCAAAACATAAATAATTAAATCATTGAATTTTGACAGCTCTTTAGGTTTACTTGCAGAGGTACCTGGTTCTTTGTTGGCTTCCAATCCTGGCCTCACTCTTGCCTTGCTTAGCTGTCTAACCTTATTCTGCTCCCAAATCCACTACTATAATGTCTGTTGAGTTAGCACAGCCTGAACTGACAGTTGCAAAAATAATGTCATCATTTGAAGCTCCAGTCTTCCACACCAGGAGGGTCTCAACTATCGTGTTTTAATTGAAGATAGTTCTGCTTCAATGTTTCAATACTTTATTTGGACAGCAAAATGTCACCACCAAACTGATGCTGAAATAATCTGCGTGTCTGTTTATAATTGAGTCTAATTAACCACAGTATCCTCATATAATTTCATAGTGGGCCAGACACTACTTTCCTTTGCCCTGTGATGAAAAGTTTTAAGATCTTTATTCACATTCTGCAATTTGGCAGCTTCCCCTTGTGAAATTTCTGCTTTAATAAGAATACACCCCTTCTTTCTTCTTGTGTCTTACATCTGTCAACAAAGATTGCTTTTGGTGGTTTGCTTTTAAGAGGTAGGCCCTGTAGTGTTTTGTAAAGGTGAGATCATTCCCTGGCCTCATGCCACGTTCTTCTCAGAGGTCTAAAGGTGGATTTGTTCTGAGCATCGGAGAAATGAAGCTATAGTTCTTGTAACAATAAACCTTTCCGCAAGGGTCTTTGGATGTAATCCAGCTATTATGTTTTACAAGTCATGAAACTGTTCCTTACAAGATTCTGGGATATCACCTGCTTGTATGAAGAGTGTCTGTGCTGGATCTCACTTGAAATACTCAAATCCTTGTTACTGGTTGGTGCTAGCCTTATTTTTCCTCTTAAATGTCTCCAAAAGTTAGGGTTCTGCTTCAAGTTAAGTATCTTTTATAGCTAGCTGCATTGTGTAGTCACCTTGAGAGATTAGGTTAATTTGCTGTTTTAGAATGCGATTAATTTCCTTCTCTTCACTGGCTACCGAGGGAGTATGGGTGATGCTCTCAGATTTGAACACTCTGTTTGCTATAAAGCCAGTGCTAGGTGGGAGGAATAACTCAGAATAATTACCATGCAGCATCTGCAGTGTCAGTTGTGTTGCCTTTTGAATGCTGCACCAAGTTGTGACTGATGTATGCAGTCCTGCCCCTTTACCATTCTCCTCGGGAGAAGTTGAGGACCCCAGTGTGGGCTCTGCTTTTTACGCTTCTCGGTCTGGGGCTTAAAGGGGTGTAGGTGGGTTCTCCTGACTACTGTTCTCTTAGAAATTCATTCTATACAGTGCAGATGCAGAAATAGTGGTGGGTAAAAATTCCCTGCAGAATCAGGCGGTTGCCTTTGGGTGTCTATATGTACATGTCTGTGGGCCCACTAGGTTGTTAAGCTCTCATTAGTCTGAGGTTGATACTGGTTGTAATGGGTGGGCTGATTTGCTGTCTACTTGTAGATCTCCATTGACTGCAGTGGTTGCTTACGCAGTTGTTTTGTCTATGGACATCTAGTTTGTAACTTTCCATCTGAAACTGAAAACTGGGGCATAAATTTGAGTTTGAATCCCACTCTAATATGTCTTAACTGTAATTCTTTCTTGAGGGAACTGCGATGTGTTGTCTATTGGGCAATCATATACTAGAATGGGGGATGGAGAGATGAAAGGTGTGAGAAAGGAATATTCAAAACTTTAATTGCTGTAGTCTAACAGAGTTCATAAATTTCTCACTATTCTGTGCGGTAAGAACACAGATAGGAAGGCGAAAGTCAAATCTTGTCATTTTTTGTCCAAGCTATGGAATGGAGTGTAAAAAGAATCCTGTTAACTTAAGGAGAGGCTTTGAGAAATTAGTCTTCACGGAGAAATACCAAACACGCACTTCTGAGTTTCTTATTTTGTTATCTTCTGTGATTCTCTTAGTACGTTGGGTTTCTAATGTTAATTCTTCCATAGCATAATTGATTTGGGGAAGTATTACTGTTGGCATAGTGATTAGTTTTTAAGATTACAATGTGGAAATGCTGATAAAAATCTGCTATCACTTATTTGCATGTTTTGAAACTCACTGACCTAATATTTATTTGCATAATTTAACTGATTTAAGGCTCCTTTCTTTACGATGCAAGCTCTACTTTGACCATTTATTACGTATTCGAGCTTATTGTGGAAAAATAGTTTTTGATCACAAGAATGAGACGCTTTCAATCACAGTAAGTTAATTTTATACTCAATTATCATTTTATATATTTTTATATATATATGTATTAGTTTGTAATAGTCTCCTGTCAATTCACATTGAGCATGACTACTAAAAGTTTAGGGCTCTAAGTTGCAATTTTGAGATAAACTAAAATTTATTAGGTAAAACTTTAGATATTTCTTCAGATAAAATAATGAATTCAATTTATGTTAACACCAGTGATGTAGAATTCAAGAATTCCAAGCATAAATCTGAATCCTACAAGATTCTTGGCCTTTACTGCATTGATAAGTTTCACATTTGGTATCTGTAGGTTTCATCTTAGTATTTTGCATCTCCTTGAATCATACTCTGGAATTTCTAGAATTCCAAAGATAGCATCTTCATGCTAACATTTCTCTTCATTCTTGGGGCATTTGCATTTGTATTTTAGAAATTAATGCATACTAAAGATGGAATGATAACATAAATATTGTTTGACAGAGTGCTAAATAAATAGGTAAAGTATACATGCCGAAACAAACAGAAAAAAAACGCACAACTCCAGCTCAGTTCACAAGTCTGGTCATTACCTGGTGCTGTCTGTCTAATATAGTTAAGTGTTTTATGTGGAATAGCTGATATCACACAAGAAATCTAAATTTAGTCAAAGAAAGTAAATTGAATGGGGAGGGGAAAGCAAGTTTGCAAAATAATCTTCTTAGTTTAAATGTAAGGTAATTGAAGGGTCAAACTTAAATTTCATGTTGAAGTGCCACAAGGTGTCGTCGTAATCCATAGAACAGAGGACTATTTGCAACAGTTAATTTATCCTTCCAGAGAAACTGTTTCTTTTAAAATAGCAGGGCGAGTCAATTACCTACTATTCTGATATAGTTGATAACAATTGGCATTTTATAATAATATAACAATTCTGTCTGACAGTTGTTAAACACTGTCTAATAGTTATTAAAAATAGAGAATTGACTAAGAAGATACTAGCTGAATCATTTGTTTAATATGTTCTATTTGCTTTGTAGTGAGGGGAAAAATTATACTGATTCTGGAAATACGTTTTTAAAAGGTTGGGAGTCGTTCCATTTTGGTGTCATTTCAGTTACATACCACTGAAATACATAAGCTTGCTCTCAAGTGATCTGTGTCTATACATATATAATGTGTTTTCAGTTAAAAATAGGATTCTGGTAATAGATCTTAAAAAGTGGTTTCAAAAATCACTCTATTTTATTTCCAGGTCCAGCCTGGAGAGGGAGACAAAGCTTCCCTGAATGATGTGAGATCTTTGTCGGGAGGTGAACGCTCCTTCTCAACAGTTTGTTTCGTTCTCTCTCTGTGGTCCATTACTGAATCTCCTTTCAGATGCTTAGATGAATTTGATGTCTATATGGTACAGTTTAACTTGCATTACATTTCTCATTCTGATTTATATGAATTAGTGATTATTTGAATTTAAAATATATTATTTAAAAATAAAATATTATTTTTATTATAAAACATTATTTTTTCTGACATAAATCAATGACACAATCATAGAATCTACAGAACAAACTTCCAAATCTTAAGTCTTTTTTTTTTTCAGTTGCAAAAAATAAAAAGTGGGGTTAAGGTGGATACTCAGAGTTGTAGGTCCTGCAGAGATTGTAGGTTCCAGACTCTTGCAGGCTAGTAGTTCATTATTTTGTGATGTTCCAAATCTACTGAGCATTTATCAGCAGCTTGTAAATATAGGTTATGAAATGAAGGAACTGTTATTCATAAAAGGAAAAACATTATCATGTTCAGTGAAGTGTCCTAGTGCTAAAGTTATCAATGTAGTTTGTCTTTCCGTTCCTGTGCTGTAGGTTCACCAATGCGACCGTAATTCTGTAGCAACTTAGGCTGTAGCCCTGGAGACCCACCACAAGAGGACTCCAGCAGTGTATTTGCAACAGGGATGCGGAGTTTCATGCATAGGGGTGCATAACAGTGTATGGAAGCAGAGCTTTCTTTAACTTCTGCTAATAACAGTATCCCATTTATAAGTGTTAATACTGTCTTATATGTTTGTCTCTATTTTTTAAGCTACAAAATATTCTAGGTTTTATACAACCCTTCAATGCTTTCATGTTAAATTGAGGCAGGATCTTACATGCAAAACTTTACTAAACTACAGCTCATCCCAGTATGCTAATTAAGCAAAGAAACTACATGGGTTTGCTAGAGTTGGTAGGACAAAAAGACTGGTGTAGGAGTGTGTGACTCTTCAGATGGAAGCTGCATATCTACTGATAGGAATTTATCCCTAAACTTCCAGTCTCAATAATTCCTAGACTGTAGCTTGTAGCCTTTTGAATTTAACCCTAGTATTCCCCTGGCATAGCTTTTACAAGATTTCTCTTTGGCAAAATTTTACTGTCTGTGAATTAATTTTGGCAGTTTTAAGATATTTATAATTAGCCTTTTTCTCAGGTAATTGTTTGACCATACCATTGTTAAGTCAGTAAAGTGCACAGTCAGTTTTGTCTAACTGATAAATCCTCTCTCTTTAGGACATGGTTAACAGAAGAATTGCAATGGACATGATGCTCAAGGTGGCTGACTCTCAGCGTCATCGACAGTTCATTTTGCTCACACCACAAAGTATGAGGTAATGATGTATTATGTTTCCTTGTACAAGAAGTACAGGGAAGATGTGCTGCAAGGAATATAATTGGGGGGGAAAAAAAAAAGTAAATGTGAGGAGAAAGAATTTTTGCTATTGCGGTATAAAATCAACAACTAAGAAGTTGATCTGATTCTAGAATTAAATAGCAGTTTTGTCTCAGTATGGTAATTTAGTGGGATGTAAGTCAGATTGTCGTCTTTAGTGAATCTGCTTTCTGAGGTTTTTAACTGTTTAAAGTTGGCTCCAGAAGCTTTTAGTATGGTAACTTCTAGAGCCATCTTCCCCATTCCCTTCCCCAAATTGTTAATCTTTTTCATTATTTTTTTCCTTTGACGTTATTGAACTTCTCAGTGGTTTGTTATTTGAGTAGACTTTCTTTTTAACTCGTCTAGAAGCTGGTAGCTTACGCCTTGACTCCTTGTTTGATCAAGTAGTTGGCAGCTCTTAAACTTCCATACGATTCCTTGGTAAAATCATGCTCAGCTAAGGGAACAGCCCCTGTCAAACTGTATGTGTCCGACTGTTCTCTCTAGCCAGTCTTGCAGACGCATACACACACACACACACACACACACCACAAACGAGCTTTCTTCTGTCAGCTGACTACTCAGGGAGTGTTGAAGCAGTCTTTAAAATGTAGCTCATCTTATGTAACTGTCTTGTCTTGCTAAACTCTAAAGAAGTAGAAGAGTGTGTTATGTAAGTGGAAATACTTTTGGATACGTTTCTGAAATTCTATTGAATAGAGATGCAGGCATTTCCTGAATAGTAACTGCTTAAATGTTAAAGTATAATTTGGTTTTGTTACAACCTGTTACCGTTTACCTGCTCAGTAATAATATGCAAACGAGGCCATGGAAGCAAAAGCAGGAAGGCAGTCTCAGTGAAAGTGCTGTTGGGGAAATCCACAGCAAAGCTCTAACCTAAGACCCTGTATGTTTAGTAACTATGTTCATGTGTATGATGGTTATGCACTGTACAAAGTATGCCCTAGCTCAGGGTCTATAAGGCAGATATGAACCATATTTGCTATTTCACTTGGAGTTTCACTTCCAAGTGCCCTTTCCATAACTTTGGAAGTCTGACTGCTTGACTTGAGTTACATGATAGAAATCAATTACTGTCTTTACTTCAAGTTTGGACTTAAGTCATACTATGGTATGGATCAGTGAAGCCAGAGCTTCACTCCATGCTACTGTTTAAAGCTGTCAAAGAAAAAAGATGCAATTATGTAAAGACAAATATGTAATGGAAAGAAATACTGAAATTTGTGTAAAGGAAACACTATTTAAATGATTCATACTTTATTTCCAGTTCTCTACCTACAAGTACGCTTATTCGAATCCTCCGACTGCAAGACCCTGAAAGAGGCCAGACAACACTGAAATTCCAAAATAGGAATCAAGAGGAGGAAGATCAATAAGTATATCTGTGTATGAATGTAATAGTGTTGAGGATTGTTACAGTATAAATGTGTAATGATGTATACAAGGTGATTAATTCCTGTTGCTGGGTAGGAGGACCTTTTGTTAGATACCTTCAGGAAAAGAAAAGGTTCTTGTATTTTTTACAACTACTGTATGTGTTTGTACAGACCAAGGACTTAAGCGGTGTGTAAATTTAATACACCTTTTTGATGATGAGAAATCCTAAATGTTCAGCTGATTGATATTTTTAACTACCAATTATTAGATCTCTTAAATGTTCTGTTTTTTTTCTTGAAAATGAAATATATTTTGTATAACTATGAAGTAATATTTTAATAAACTCTGAGAACTGACACTTGTAGTAATGCTTTAGTGTCTCTACACACTTAAAGATTGGTCTTAAGATAATTTTGCCTTCCTAACTCTTGCTTTATTTGTTCAGCATATGCTCATTAATACATGCAGTAAATGTATTTTCATTTTTCTAGTGGAACCACAGCTGTTGAACATAATTTATTACTTACAGTGTATATTTTTGTAATTAGAAAAAAGAAGATTCATTTGCAATATATTCTCTGGGTAGGGAAAAAATATCTTTATTTCTAAAGGGTTTATACAGAAGACTGTGTGTTTTTGGACATAAGCTTACAAAACCCAGAAAATTGTGGGGTTTTTTTCTTTTTTTTAATAAGATTGCTAACTTCAATTAAACCTAGTTCTTATACAATCTGGATTTGCAGATATAGGTTAGATCTGTAGATATTCATCACATTATAACAAACTAAAGTGACAAAGTCCTTATTGGAGTAGATTCAATATACTAGAATGAATTACAATAGATTTTTGAGAAATTACACACTACCTGATTTACAGCATTGAAGACCTTCTGATCTGAGACTAACCTCTACAGTAAACGCAGTTAAAATAAGTGACCTCGCTTTATTAAAAAGTGCAAACATTTATCAGGATTGGAAGGAGAAAGAAAAAGTAGGACTTGCAAATTGTTCCGTATTAACTTTCTTCTCTCCTGTTCTTCTCCCTCCAGGAACTTGAAATTGTTGAAAGCTCTTCAAAAACAATCAATTGAAAGTTCAGCCATTAGGCATACATTTCTTGACATTACAGGGTCACAAGAACAAATAAGACTTTTTCAGAGAGCAGTTCTACACTTTCCACAGCTATTTATCAGATAGCAATTCCTCAATAAAATTTCTTTCCAGTTCATTCTAAATTGACTTGATAGCTTATTTTAAAAAAAAGAATTTTTTTTTAAGCCACTGTGTGGCGATGTGTTATTTTTGTTTAGCTTTTCCTCAAGCATCTATTAAGCTTATAGATGTTTCTAAGATACAGAAGTTGATGAAGAATTGGAAGAAGGCTTCTAACTCATGTGCATTGCCAGAGAACAGGAGGCAACAGCCATAAAGTGAACTGGGGAGGTTCAGAATGGGTAAAGGCAAGGGAGGCAGAAGAGTCCACGATGAAGGCCGCAGGTATTAGAACAGGTTGCCCAGGGGTTGTAGAATCTGTGTCCTTGGAGGTTTCAGGGTCTGAATTTAGAATTGTTCCTACTTTGAGCAGGAAATTGAACTACAGGGCTCCAGAAATCCCAACCAAACTAGATGATCGTGTAGTCCCATCACTTTGTGAAGTACACACTGGAGAAACTTGCAACCTTTTTAGGATTATGTGAAACACTGGGAGCAGAGGAAGAACACCCAATCTGCAAACTTGGTAAAACTTGGTAAAACTGAATTGCAAAATTTGATTTAGCTTATTCTTCAGGGTCCTATTACATGATCTTCAACCACATTTTAATTTTGGCTAAATAATCTGGTGAAACTAGAATATATTTCAGAACATCTTACATAATGAATCATATAGTATTTGTTCCTCCTAATTTTGTTCATTATCTGAGAGAATAAAGCAAGAGTGCAGGGGAGAGAAGTATTTATCTTCACTGGTACTTTTATAGATAGTTGTGTGGAGAAGATAGTTCAACGAAAAATACTGCTTTCCTATGGGAATAACAGTTCAACTTTCTCAGCTTTCTACATACTGCTGTAAAAAGTCTTTCATGAAATGGTGGAGCAGTTAATGGTGCTTTTTCTGATCTTTAGTTCAAACCCTATGATGTATTTATTCTAATTTATCAGTGTACTTAATGAAAATGTGTGCCTGACTGTGATTATTATAAGCAACTGCTTTCATGGTAGAAGATAACTTCTGAATAAACAATTATTGAAACAGTTGCTTGGATACACTCATTTTTGCAGTGATTCTACTAAGGTCTCAAAGCTGTCTTGTTCTCGGTGCTTTAGGTAAGGAGCTTCTTTATACCAGCTACCTGGACGGTTGTGATCATGACATTACACCTGTGACCATTTGAGCTGTTGGACATGTTGGATGGCAATGGATGCTTAATGCTCCATTAAAGTAAATAGAGCCTATCCATAAACATTAAGTGCTATCCTTAAGAAAGTTGCCTGTTCAGCATAAGTAAAATTTTGGTAAAAAGAGAGATTGAAATCTTTTTTTTCTTTCCTTTCCTTCCTTTCCCCACAACTAGCATGCTGAAGATAAGAAATAAGAATTAAGGGGAAAAAACAAATATTATAAACTTGTATTTCTTTAAAAAATATTTTCTTTCCCTCTTTTGGTAGCGTCTGACAAAATGTGTAAAACAGCTTCACTTTTAGATTTGAGAATATGGAGAGTGACACATGTCTAGCTGGTGGAACTCCCTAATTTCTTCGTAAGACAAAGAAAAAATACCAACATGCAATTTTAAGATATTTGTTTTTGGACTTTGTTTTGTAATCCTGCTTGCAAATGACTCTTTTTAGGAAACCTGCTACAGGAGGTTCTTTTATCTGCACTTTTTGCAGTCTGCTCGATCTCAAGGTTTTCCCAAGGCTGCACAGAGCTTCTGTTTGCCAGTGCATACAGCAGAACTCTATGGATGTGCTGCACAGAGTGGAGGAGCTCGAGGAAGGTGGTTCTCTTGACTTTCCCTTCTCGATACTCCTAGTTTAGGGTTAATTTGTCTCTCAATAATGTCTTTTTTACACCCTGTCTGTTCATACTAAAATGTGATAGTTTAATATCATACAGTGAGAGCAAAAGCTGTCACTTAAGGAGGGAAAAACATTAAGACAACCAGGCTTAGACCAAGCAAATAAATTGTATTTGACCTACAACTATCTTAGAAAGTTACTTGAGCACAGCTATAGCAGAAATACTGTTAAACCTTAGCATCAACATCATTGAGGATAAAGAGCTGCTCTGTTGCCAAATATTAGTAGTATAATTTTTGGTTTTGTATTTATGACTTTCCACTGAGTGTATTTAGGGCTTTCTAATGAGTGAATGCAGAGAAATTTCTTTATGCTTTCATAAAAAATACATTTTTCCCAATAGTAAAATGACATAACTGTAAGAGTTTTTTTTTTCCTTGCTTCCTCTTCCTCCTCCCGCCATCCCTTCCCCGCCATTACCCTGCTGAAGACATGAAATAAGAATTAGGGGAAAAGGTCAAATATTATAAATTTATTTTGGGACAGATATATATTGCAACCTCTGTGGAAGCTTTTGAAAATTCAGGCAAAGATCAATACACTTTCAATAAAACCTTTAAACTTCCAATAAAACAATATTTTGAACATTATATATATATTTATATATACTTTTAATTAAAGGGAGCATTTTAGCAGGGTTTGTTTATACTGCATTCCTCTGACATAGCTCTTTCCAGATTGAAGGGATGCAAATGAGGTAAGAATTAAGGCAAACCTAAAAGGCATGCAAATGAAGTACATTTATCTCCACTGACAATACAAGCACGTGTGTGGATCAGACTAAAGAACCGAGGGCTGCTTCCCCTCTGTCTGTCCAGTACTACTTTACAGCAGGATGGTGACATGGTTCATAATAAACAGCTAACATTACCATGGGAATTCAGTGTCACTAACATTACTCAGTCTAGAAGACACAGAGCTAGCATCAGTAAAACATGAACAATAAATAATATAATTCACGGCAGCACAGTACTGCTGCACAGGCTTCAGAGGAATGGGGTTGTTATGAAATGACATTGCACACATCACGTTGTGGCAGTTTATTTTTTTATAATATATACTTTTAAAATTCTTTAGCAAATGACATTCTCATGCACACAAGTGTTTCAAACACAAGAAGCAAGTCCATTTATAGGTAGTCCAAGCAAATTCGTGTGTGTGTGTGGAAATAGCTGCAAACCGAATGGAACATTTAAACTTCTGTGCAGTCTATGATGCCTTGTACACAAGCTCATTTCTGAATGTCACACTGCAGGAGTAATACGATGGAGGGGTCACTCTTTGCAGCTTCTTTGAATTCATCCAGCGTGATCTGGTCATCTTTGTTCTTATCCATCTTGCTGAAAATCTTGTCTACCCGCTGCTCGGGTGTCAGGCCATCCTCGTTCATTTTCATCATTATTACAGTGCCCACCATTTTGTAGATGGCCTTGGGAGAGAAGCCAAATAGAAGATCATGAAAGATAACTCTTAGATTTAATCAGTGTATCAGTGTGTTGATGTGATCAAATGCTGGAATCAAAATTCAACAGTCAAGTGAGTGCCAGTTTCCCTATGGATTTTTTTCTTTTGCAATCTCCTGTCTGTTCACTTAAAATAAGTAGGAATAAGGGTTTTGCACCTTTTTTTTCCCTTCAAATACAGGCTTTTTAAAATTGTTGTACTTTGCATATGGGAATGAATTTCTATTGTGATCTCTGTTTTGGATCAAGTGTTTATTTAGAATTGAGTCACCCCATTGAAAGATTTTACATAAATTCTGGATAATCAGCTTTAAAAGGCATCTCTTTTCAGAAGCTTTCTGTGTGCACATGTGGACAAAATCTGGTATTAACCACTGGGGCTAGTATCCAACAGATGACTGATGCAAACTTTATTCTTTAACTGTACTATGGCAATCTTAAATCTTAGTGCCCATCTGCAGGAGCTCACTTAAAAAGCAAGTGGGTTGTTTGTCACTGTAAATTTCTGCAATCATTTGAAGTTAATCTCCAATAAGGCTGCATGCAACTTGAGCTACAAAACAGTAATTTCATGGGCA